GGGGCTTGGCATTGATCTCACTGCTTGTTTCCTCTCTACTTCTTTTATAATTGATCTTTTTGTTCTGAAATTGCTAGATGCCATCATCGTTGGTGACAAGGGAGGAAGAACTGTGGGTGGCATTGACGTTGTTGAGATAAAAGCATTTAGTGCATCCATGATAGAGGAAGGGTATGCAAGGAAGGTGGAGGACTGGAGCTTATGGATGGAGAAGAAGGAAGGTGAAGGACTAAAGGTCATCGACAAAGGAGAAGGTGTTTTATAAGGTTGGCTCTCATGAGGGGGTTTAGGTGTTTAAAAATGTTCACAAAAAGTTTTTCCTAGTTTAAGCTAATTACTTGGCTTATATCTAATTCTCAAATTCATCCTTAAAGTTTTCACTAAAAAACACGAGCTTAATTTAATACTTGCTACCGTAATACAACTATTAGATTACACCAATCTAAATTTCACAATAATACTTACAACACATGAATACTGTTACAACTACTTTGAAAAATCTCTTCTTAATATTTTAAATAAATATATGAAAAATATTTTCACAACAAAAACTCTCTAAATGAGTAAATTTGATAGTGAAAGTTTATAAATCTTTAAAAACTTTTTCACAAGAATAACATAATGTAGGTAATAATTGAATACAAATCATTTAATGCTCAATAATTATGTTGCCCATTGATTTAAATGAGGTTCTATTTATAGTTTAGTATTGAAAAAGACATTAGTAACACTAAAGCTAAGGATTATAGTCATTGAATATATGTAAGTGATGTTTATATAAAAAAAAAAAAACCACTTTTTTTGTGAAGTGCATCTAATGCTTGTCAAAAGTTCATTCACATGTGTGTTGGAAGGGTGTCATGTGTGGATTGATTTAAAGCTCAATGGTCTAGTTCACTCTAGTCTAATTCAATTATCAGACTATAATGGTTCCAGTTTGTATTAAAGTTTTGAAGCTCCTTGCTTTTACTGTGAGCTCAAATATATGTGGTAAGGTTTGGTTCATACACAGATAGGATAGGTGCTCTCTATAAGTCAAAACATGCTTGGAATATTTGTGACTCAAGCTTGAATTAGCTTGTTTAGGATTAAGGCTCTCTAAATTAGATTAAAAAGTTTTTAAGTGTTAGAATTCATTCAAGCATGGATCATACTTGAGTCACGTGCAGATTACTCTTAAACATACTTTAGTCCGACACTAAAGGATAATTTAAACAAGGATAAAATCTAACTCAAGCAAGAATTAGATTGCAGAAACATGTCAAAGACTCCTGCCTTTTTTGTTCGTCCACTGGCAAGAGGGTAAGTAGGTTGCCAATCCCTCACCGCAACAGTGGGTTCTGTGAGATTCGAAACTTTTTCTTGCTTTTCGCTTCTTTTTGCGTCCGAATGCCAGGTAGCTAGGTTATTGCTACTGGAAGTTCGAATCTGAGCTCCTTCCCTCCCTTGTGCACATGGTTGAATTCTTCTCTTTCCCCTGTTCCACCGGTGCTGATTTAGTAAGTTGAATTCTTCATTTTCTTCTTTGTTCTGTTGATGTGTGTGCTGTGTGAGTGCTGGACATTGATGTTTCTTTTGCTTTATATATTAAATTGTAAACTCTTTCCTTGCTTTTGAATTAGAGCTGTACGTGTAAGGGAAGGATTGTTTATTTAACTAATGTTAAATTGAAGGCCTGAGTTTTGTTACTGTATAGGGAATAATAATAATAATAATAATAATAATAATAATAATATATACATATATATTATATCATGATCCTTGGCAAAGGACGATTTAAGAAGTATAATTAGGATTATATTATGACAATAAAATTAATTTGGCTAAAAATAAAATGAAGAATTTAGAGGCATAAATGATGATGTATGGAAAATAGATTCAATTTGTTGAAAAATTTATTAAATATCTAATAGAGATTTTAGAAGAAGAGAAGCTTGATTGAAGTTGTGAGAAGGAAATTTTAGAAACTTAATGATATATTAGATAAGTAAATAATGTTCCCTAATAAATAGAAATAATGATCTTTCTTTTACCTGGTTTATTTATTTATTTAAATATTGGTATGGAAAGTAAAAAGAGAGTTAATATATATATATATATATATATATTATAATTGAAAGAAATTGTTAGTCTAGTAGTTAATTATTTTTTAGTCTCCAAGAAAATATGGGTTCAAATCTTCCTGGCAGCCTTAGAAAAAAAATACATATATTTTTAATATCGAGTGACAATGTGGAGATTTTTTTTTAAAAAAATAGGGATAGTTTTCTACACTAAAATTTAATTAATTTTTGATTCCTTGATCATGCAAAATGAATTTAAAATTATTTAATCCTTTGTTATAAATAAAATGCTTCGGAGGTTGTTCACAATGATTTTCCTTTTGAAATAAAAGTCACTTTGCAAAAGTTTGTGAAACATTAACTTTTTTTTCCTTTCACAATATTACAATTCTTCTCGATTTCTAATAAAGACATAAAGCAAGTTTGTTTTACAATTTATCATATTTATTAGAGTTAAAAATGAAAATCAAAACAACTTTTTGATAACTTCAATGATGCAATTAACCACCTTTTCAGTGCCTGTAATTGACTTATAATAAGAATGCCAGGAAAAAATTTGACCGAATGACAGAAGAACAAAATGGGAAGAAAGACAAGTATGAACACGCTAACATGCAAGTTGAGTGTATCAACCACGAGATGCTGCCATCAATGATTTGACAGTGATCCAACGTGAACAGTCCGTCGAAGACTTGGTCGTCGAAGTCTTGTAAAGTGATTGACTTCATTATTTTAATGGTATCCACTCGTTCCCTATCGAAGCATTCATCCCCACTTCCCCATCTTTACTCCATGATTTGTTAAACTCACTTTAATTATGTATAATTGTAATATATACAATTATATATGCATATGTGTATAAATATATAAAGTATACAAAAGATATACTGAACTGATAAAATGGGGTTTTCATTTTAGTTTTTCCGGATTATGAAAAATAAATGTGACATATATTTTATTTTTATGCAATTAAATTAATAAAATATCTATTTGATTAATATATTATTTGCATGATTTTTTGTCCTTATACATAAATTAAAAAAAAGGTACCACTAAATAAAGTATCTCAGTAGTTATGTAAATACCTCTCATGGTTATCAATTATGTTATTGGTTAAAAGGTATTTTTCCTCTTAATTATTCACTCAAGAGTGTCTCATATCCTAAACTTATATATGATGTAATTTTTTTTTCAACATCTAAAAATATCGATGCTGTTAAAAAAATTAACTTTTATTGTTAGTTGACTTAGAAAATGACATTAAAAATTAAAAAAAAGGACCCACAAAATTATAGGTAAGTGCCATGCTATAATTTTCGTGTAATTTTATGAATCCTTTTTTTTAGCAAAATATTTTATGAATCCTTATGCGTGCCTATTTAGGTTATTTGTTTTTGTAATTTTTAAAGTTTTTTTCTGCTATTTTTTATTCAATTAATGGTTAAAATTAATTTTTTTAATGACAAAATGCCCATTATATTATTTTCAAATATTAAGAGGAGTAATTGTACCGCGTGTAAATTTAGTATACTAAACATTTCAAAATAAATAATAGGGACTGAGATCCCAAATATTCTTTAATTCTCTTAAAAAATAGGGGAATTGAATCAAACATAATAGAAAAAGAAATTATCTCCTCTGTCAACATGTGTGAAATGAAGTTGGCTAGAGGAGAGACTATTATAGATATCGACTGTTACATTTGATTTAGTAATTTTGATTTGATAAAATGAAATATTGGGTAAAAGTGTAAATTGGTAGTTTATGTCCAGAAGCATCTAGAACTTTAAATTTATTTTTTGTACAATATTTTTTTTTTCAAATTTTGAAAAAAGTTCAATCTGACTACCGTTAACAAAAATTAATTTTAATTATTAGTTAATTAGAAAATAATAAACAGAGACCTCAAAAACTATACAAGTGGACCAATATTACAATACATAACTCAAAAATTATAGACAAGGATTTGAAAATTTATATAATAAGACCAAAAAAAATTTATTAGTCTTTTTCTGTAATTTTTGAAGTTTTTTTCTTGTCATTTTTTGATTAAGTTAAAGTTAACTTTTGTTAATGGCAAATGCCAAATTACACTGTTTTTAAAATTAAAAGAGGAACAATAAAAAATGTGAGTTCAAGTTTTAGGTGCTCCTAAACAAATAATTTAAAGATTAATTTACTCTTTTACATTAAGATATTATATATGAGAGAGAAATTATTTTTAAAGATTTTTTTTGGGCCAAAGAAATTATTTTTAAAGATTATACTTTCAATAATGGCAAACTGAATGTTTTTTTTTTCTTTTTCAAATAATATCAATAAGATAAACACATCTCCATTATCCTAGAAGGGTAATTAACAACGACCGGAGAGACAACTGGTAACAATCGTGACCCCTGCAAGCCGGGATATATTAATTAATAGTGGCATTTATTAACTCCTACAACTATTTTTCAGGCATTGATTTTCTTAAAATATTATAGAATAATTGGTGATTGATTGTCAGGAGAGGGACAGTCAATTTTAGATATTTAGAAAACTAAAGTTATATAATTTTGTGATAAAAAGGAAAACTAAAGTTACACATTTAAAATATACAAATAAAAATAAAAAATTAAATATAGAAATAAATTGTGTCCCTAATAAAAGTTAGTGACATGATAATTGATACTTAAAAAAAATCGTTCGCATAATATTCAAATTAAAAACTAATAAGAAGCAATTAAAAAATAGAATAGAAACTAATAGAAGAACTTTTTCAAATAACAAGGAATTAAAAAAATATTGGTTGACTGACCAGACCAGGGTGTCCTTCCCAAATTACCCTTAAATCATAGAGCTTGAGTCCAGGAAAGGAAGGGTGGTTATGTAAATTCAGCATGTGCGAGTCTATATAAAATCCCTTTCAGAAACGGTAATCATTAAGAGTAGAAGCATCACTCCGCAGATTTTATTCACACAGGGCAGAAAGAGAAGAAAGAAAGAATGAATCGTTTCACTTTCAACGTTCACAAACACAGAATTATCAAATTTCTTCTTTCAATTTCGTTTCTCTCTGCTTTATTCACAATCTTCCCTCTTCTTCTTCAGTCCCTGAAGCCATTTATGGCGATGCGGCTGATAGAAAAGAGCTACATGTTCTTGCTCTGTAATGGACTCGTCGTCTTCATTCTCAAGAGCTCAGGTCTCGTTGATGTCAGAAAAGGCTTTGAAATTGAGAACGATGATCCTCCAGAAGAAGCAACAGAAGAAATAGAAGATCAACAAGAACGTATGGTTTCTTCTGATGAAGATAAAGAAGACGAAGAAACAGAACCGGGGATCGATCGTGCCATCGTCGCCATTGGTGAAGAAGAAGACAAGCATCATGATGAAGAAGATGAAGCAGAAGATGCAGATGAGTTGAACCAGAAAGTTGAGTAATTCATCAGAAAGATGAAGGAAGCTATATCTTCAGAACGAAGATATTATTATTTCAATTCTGATGATCTTGATGCACGTACGAAGCAAATTCAGTACTGATATGAATTTTTAGTTTTTATTTAATAATCTAATACCTTGAAGTTTTTGTGCGCGTATCTGAAGTCTTGAATCAATTAGAATCACACGAGAATTTTCGTTCATGTCAATGTTCTATAAATGAGAACTTAGATTCCAGAGTGCTCTGTTCCGCGTCCCGATCTATATTGATATACTATAATTCTAATTTATTATATCAATAGCCTATCAGTTCATGCATTGAATGGAGTTCAAGTTGGACGAGAGTCACATTAATTATATCTTAGTAATATTCACACACAATTTCTTTTTATGAAATAAAATATTACGGAAAAAATAAATCATTTGATTCATATAATTTTGATTTAAATGTAACTCATAGTATGTTTGGTTCGTTTCCTTGCATCAGGATTATATGTAATCCTGATACATTTCATGGATTCATAACGTTTGGTTGGCACTCATTAATGTAAATAGGATTACAAGATGTAAACAACATTCCTTAAATGGCTGCAATGAGATTACATAGTCAGACCCAATAAAAGGGGATGCGGGCCTCTTGTAATGGGTTTTACAAGACATTATTGCCCTTATAATTTTTTTTTATGACTAGATTATCCTTTTTCCCCAAACACATGAAGAATTGCACAGAAAAAGAAACCCTATGCGCAAAAATTTCTGGAGAGAATCACGCTTGCCAAATCTGCTTGCGGGTGAGTGTTCTCTATTTAATACAATCTATCCACATGGTCAGCTTTGATTTTTTCTACTTCATATGTGCAAAATCTGCTTTATTTGATTTTCTCTACTTCATATGCTAATGCCGAATCTGAACAAAAGTTGCTTGCAAATCTTTATCTGATTTACTCTGCACAATAATTTGTTGCCATCAATTCCTACTGCACAATAATATGCTGACAACAACTATAGCTATTCATCAAGTCATTCTTTATTCACTTCATATGGTTCTTCACGTCAGTTTGCTGCCATCAACTCTTTTGATCTACACAAAAGTGGGTGCATATAATATTATTATATTATTATAATATTTTAGTTGGTGCTTTATACTATTGTGAAATTATTATAATATTGTAATGGGTGTTTTATTTTGAATCATTATAAAATTGCAGTAGATGCTATAAGCTTGTTTTGGTAGGGCACAATTATGGATGAAGACTGACAGCAATTCATCCTTCATATAATGTTGGGCTGGTTGGGCTGCTTTATGATTATGCATGCTATTTGTAAAATGCTTGTTGACATAATGTTTAGTGTGGCTATATATAGCACTAGACATATTCATGATCGGTCATACACCCTTGATTTTCATAAAAAAGAAGACACCTCAGGGAGATGGTACATGGTAGTGATATAACTTGTTTCAACCAAATTAGGATGTATAGATGTACATTTTTTTGACTTTGTGGCATGTTAGAGACCATAGGTGGTCTAAAACCGAGTAGACATATGTTAGTGGATGAACAAGTTGCAATCTTCTTGCACATACTTGCTCACCATATGAAAAATAGAGTTATTCAGTTTGAATTTGGGAGGTCAAGGAAAACCATAAGTCGATATTTCAATATAGTTGCAAAAGCAGTTGTTCGCCTCCAATATGAGTTATTTAAGATACCAGAGCCAATCCTTGAAGATTCAACAGATGAGAGATGGAAGTGGTTCAAGGTAAACATAAAACACATGTTTCCATAGTTTTAAAGTCAATTCTTTTTTTATCAATGAACAAATAATCGTAGGGCTGCCTTGGTGTATTGGATGGAACTCACATAAAGGCTCAAGTGCCTGCACAAATAAAGGGTAGGTATCAAAATAGAAAAGGAGACATAACTACTAATGTTCTTGGTGTGTGCTCTCCTAATGGTGAATTTATATTTGTTTTTCCGGGCTGGGAAGGGTCTATAACTAATAGCAGAGTCTTGAGAGATGCAATTAGTAGACCAAATGGTTTTAAAGTTCCTCAAGGTATGATTTTCAACTTTGTACTTATATAATTTAATTTATATTAGGGGTTGTAATAGTGGTAATATGCTATTTGCAGGGAATTATTATCTAGTTGATGCGGGGTATACAAATTGTGAAGCTTTCTTGCTCTATATAGAGGACAACGGTATCACTTAAGTGATTGGTGTGATGGAAGATATCCTGAATCTCCACAAGAGTGTTTTAATATGCGACATTCATCTGCTAGGAATGTCATCGAAAGGGCATTTGGGATCTTGAAGATGCGTTGGGCAATATTAAGGAGTCCTTCCTATTATCCCATTCGAACCCAAAATCGATATATACTTGCTTGTTGCCTCTTGCATAATCTCATTATGCGAGACAATGTAGACGACCCTATTGAGGCTGAATTTGATGCAATTGACTCACCAAATCCCCAAATGGGCATCAATCCCATCTCAACCATGGAACCATCAAATGCTTGGAGTGCTTTTCAGGAAAACATGGCTAATGAAATGTTTAATGCATTTACAGCTCATAGGACTAATAGATAAAGCCTTTGGCTAGTATGAATTGTTCAATGAAAGGACTTTTAATGTTTTAGCTACTACGATTTTAGTTTATTTGTATTAGTATGTCCAGTACATTTGCATGATTTATATTTTATATATTAAAATCTTTTATGAGTTGGGATCTCTTAGATTCTTATTGCTCTTTTCTCACTTTTTATTACATAGAATGGAAACACGAGAAGATATTAGTAAAGGTAGCAAGCATGTTTGGACAGTTCAAGAAGACAGCATGCTTGTTGAATGCTTGGTCCAATTAAAAACTGATGGGAAGTTTGTTGCGGATGCAGGATTTAGTACAGGATATTTGAATAGGTTAGAGGAGATGCTAGAGGCAAAGGCTCCAGGTTGTGGATTGCTTGCTAACCCTCATATTGCTTCAAGGTTAAGAACATTTAATAAGTCATGGCAAGTTGTATATGACATGGTGAATAATAAAAACACTTCTGGCTTTGGGTGGGATACTGAAAAGAAGTGTGTGACAGCTGAAGATTATGTATGGGCTGAATATGTGAAGGTGATAGAGTCACTGTTATATAAAGTTAGATTTTATATGTTATATTATTATTATTATTTTATTTTATTTAATATATATATATATATATATATATATGAACCATTTATGCTTCATTTTCAGGTTAAGAAGCAAGCTGGAAATTTTAGGAATAAATGCTTACCTCACTTTGAAGATCTAACATATATATGGGGTAAGGATCATGCAATTGGAATGACTGCCTCGATGCCTTCCTCTCTTGCTGAGGATGATGAAGAGGATTATATAATTGAACATGAGATCAATGTTGAACAAGGAATTAACACAAATACAAATGTTGATGCATCTGAGCAACAACCTACGCAATCAGCTGAGGTCCAATCATCTACAAAATGAAAGTGAAGGAGCAGTCGTGATATTATAGAGGTCCTTGCTGAAGCTATAAAGGATTCATCTTCTCATATAGACTACTCAATGATGAAATTCTCAGAGAATTTATGTAAGGAATTTGCTGAAATGCGAAAAGAGTCAAGAAGGATTGGTCCTATTGATTTAGACAGAACAGAGGAAATATATAGGCAACTTATGAGAGTATAGGGACTCACATGGGGTGAGATAAACAAAACTCATATGAAAATTACTGAGTCTCTATCACTAGTGGTTGCATTCACACTAGTTCCTGAAGACGAGATGACTGCTTGGGTGCATAGCCTTCTTGAATAAATGTGTAGGACCTTTATATATTTAGCTCTATAGGACTTCTATATGGATTGCTTTGCAGGACCATGAGCTATGTAAATTACATACTACTTCATTTATATAAAGTTGTAGTAGTATGTATTTTAAGTCTTTCTTTTGTTAATATTTTGGAGATTGTAGACAGTGCCTCAATATCATTTTTTGTAAAGCCATAGAGTGAGCTTGTATTGCATTTGTCAATATTTAGGAGGTCATAGTTAATTAGTACCTCAACATTTTGTAAAGTCATATGATGAACTTTAATGTCCTGCTTTTGATAATCCACTATTTGAAAATGTTTATATATTTTGCTATTAATGGTGTTGTTGTTCTGATTATATATATATATACAAGAAGGTAGATTTTATATTTTGATTATGTATTTTTTTTAATTTTAATGTGCTATACTCTACCTCTTGGATGTGGCTGCACAACATTTCTGCATGATAACTCGACAGGAAACATTTTATTGCTATATGAAGAAGCTACACTAGTGTTCATGAATATCTTTATATTTCATAAATTTATGCTATTGGTAGGAAGCATTTTTATTGCTGTAAAATTGTGCCTGTTGGTAATTTGTTTCACATGCACACACACATCTGTTAATGTTTGGTTTAAATATTATAATTTAGTTTTAATATATTTAGATGGCATTATATACACACACACATTTAAAATAGACTTACTATTAAAGAGGACAGGGGACTAGAGTGGAAAAGGGCTGGGAAGTGTTTTGATTGATTTTAATATACAAGGGTATTTTTGTCTTTTGATTCATTAATACAGCCTATTCCCATGTTTTTTGTAATTGAATCAAACATTTTTACCCTATTGCATCTCCTTTCCTTAAAAGCATACCAAACAAAATAGCAGTAATCATCATTACATTACATTACATTTCATTCCATTTCATTCCCATGGATTTCTTTGAACCAATCGTGCCATCAATCTCTATACTTTAACTTATTATAACTTGATCATTATAATTTCTATTAAATTATAACTCAACCTCCGAAAGGATGTCGGGGCAATTGAGAGAAAATTATGCAAGATGATAGTAACAAATTTTAGTTGCCTTTTGAAAAATTTTAATTACCCCCATCATTCAAAAAAAAAAAATTGCACTTGTCCCCTAAAAATGTCATAACTTAAAATCTTATCTACATACTACTCTCTCCGTTTTAAAAATATAAGGCATTTTTAATCAAATCTCATCCCCTAATAAAGTAATTACTTACTTTCAAACTAATCCTATCTTTTCATATTTATCCCTATTAACCACCCTATAATAAATATAAAGTCATTATCAATAGGAGCACTTTTGAAAAAAAGGCAATGATTATATCTCAAAAAACTAAAAATGTTTTACATTTTTGAACATCCAACTTTTTAAAAAATGTTTTACATTTCTTAACAGAGGGAGTATATTTTAAGCAGAAACAATTTTAGAATATATTTTAAGCAGGAACAATTTTAGAATAGAAGAGTAGTAATTTAATAAAATATTTTGCTTGTAGAAAATTTTATCACAAATTAATTCTCTTCTATATAAAAGAGATATATAGATTTAATTTAATAAAAATAAAAAACATGAAACTAATAGACATAAACAATTTTTATATAAATATAATTTTTATTATAAATTTATGTTGTATGCATAGTTTTTAGTATTTAATTTTATTAAATTAAACTTTTAATATAATTTAATATATAATTAAAATTATATTTTTAATAAAATAATGATATTTATTTTAAGATAAATTATGCCCCCATCAACTTATTTTTTTGGGTCCATCATTACTTGAACTTAATTTTACTCAGAGAAACTTAATCATTATAGTTTTAATTATTTAAACTGTCCATCATTTTATTTAAAAAAAATAAAATTATAAATATTAAAATCATTTTAAAATTTGGGGATTAATATTTTTTTATAAATTAAGGATTAATATTTTAAATGACTAAAACTGTTAATTTGTATAAAGATTATAAAGGTTAATATTTCAAAATAATTTTATTCTTTATAAATTTATTCTTTAAAATATAAGACCAATATTTTAAATTACTAAAATAGAATAAAAATTAACTTGCATCACGTCAAAATTAAAGGACAGAGTTATAATCGAGTCAAGAGTATATAAAAATTGAATTGCATTGAATTAAAATTTAAAAATTAAATTAAAATTAAGTTAAAATTATATGAATGAAATCAATAATTTTCCCAATATATAGTATATGAGATTCTGATGGGAAAATTTACTTCTACTAATACATTACTTAATACAGTGGGAAGCAAAATTAAACTAGGGCGTGTTTTACTTAAAAAACCAAATTAAACTAGGGCGTGTTAAAGGGTGCTATATTTATTTATGTCATATATTTCTCACTACTGTACAATATATGGGCTATTTATTATATTAATAAAATAATAATAATATTTTAAACAAAAAGTTTTAGAGGTGCTTCCAGGTAGATCCTATCCACGTGAGAGCGATGTTTTCGTTTTCAATGGGACATAACTAGCATATTTTTCCAAGGTATACGTCATGAGAACGACATTGCCAATGAAACTTCGCGGTTATTGATTTGGAGACCTTAGCATTGACTGTGTTAGAGACGGGCGATTGATTGTTGGAAGCAATTTTTGAAAAACTTACATACTTAACATTTTATATTTAATATATTTATATTTAATTAAATTAAAATATATAAATTTTTTATAAATTATTTATTTTATAATAAATTTTTGCTATTAATTAAACTAATATATGAAAACTCAAGTGTCATGATTTAATTAGATATAAATATATAATATGAAGTACATGAGTCTTACTTTTTTTTTTTTGGGGTTGAAAACTGGTGATTGTCCTTAGGTGGGAATTACGTTAAATTAAATTATTAAAATATTAAAAAGAAAAAGAAGGTTAAGGTACAACAATCCAAAATTAAGAAAAGGATCAATGGTCTTTTTTATTCGGGACTATTCACATTGGATTTGCAAGAATCCTAAACTCGATTTTGCGCCAGTTTCCCCTACCCGTTTAACAATCCATTCGCTTTTGCCTTGCCATTGAAATGTTAACGACTTTAAAAAAAAAAACCAAAAAATACACGTGTTAGTTAAAGGTGACTTTTGCCCTTGAAGCAGAGACATATTTACGTTGAAGGAATGGAGGCAATTGCCTCTACTGTAGTTATATGATGGGGACAATTACCACTTGCCCCTTTCAAAAATTATCACTTGTGCCTTTAAAATATTGCTCGAGCATCATTTAAGTTTTTTTTTTAATTCAATCTTTATTTTTAAATATTTTTTAATCATTCAATTAATGAAATTAATGTTATTTGTATTGTTAACTTTTAGTTGGTAGATTGATTCATATGAAAAATTGTATAGTTCATATTATTTATATAAATATATAAGATTAGGCTAAAATTTACAAAATTCTTGTGAATTTTAATACAGTTACATATAACTCTTCCCTCCTTTAAACTTTTAAAGTTAACCTCTTTAATTTTTTTTTTTCAAAGCCCCATACTATTAATAACTCTATTATCCTATTAACAAAATTTGCCACATAAAATTAATGAGATATACATATGGCACCTAACATTGAAAAAATATTTAATTATTTTTAATACATCTAAAGAAAGAATCATATTAATAAAAATTTATCCTTCCATTGAAATGAGATAGGTATGCACCCATAATAATAGAAAAATATAGATAAAAGTTTTATAAAGTTATTATTAGCTTGTATAGGATGTCACATAAGGTGCCATATATCTTTTCTTAATATGAATGACAACATTTGTTGGTAAAATAGCTAAGAAATAATAGTAGGGAGTCTGTGATAAAATAAAAAATAAAAAGGTTATGGTAGTTAATTTTTAAAATTTTAAAGGTGAGAGGAGTTCTAATGTCTCAAAATTTAGGAAATAAATTTTGTATATTTTGACCAAATAAAATATTTTGTTTTCACCTTCTCAAGTAAAATATTAATTTTTATTTTGTAAACACTAATAACGTCAGTTAATTGTTTATATTGAAAATACTTATTCTAAAAGAATATGATTATTTTCATTAAAAAAGAGAACTAGCATATGATATTAATATTTACTACTTATTCTATTATTTTCAGCACAAATTTTCTTCATATTAAGATAATTTTATTTTTTTAAGTTATTCTAATTTTATATTTTTTTATTTTTTTGTGTATTTAACTTTAATGAATTTATTTTTATTATTTAAATAAACATTTATAATTATATTTTAAAAATATTAATATTCGTTTATACATGTTTTGCCCCCAATAATAAAATTTCCTACGTTCGTCACTGCCTTGAAGCATTCGCTTGGAGACATATGGTTTCCCAAACTCAATTTTGAGTCATTTTCCCCTTAAACGTTGAAAAGCCTAATCATATGTGCTCTACCATTAACACACCATAGATGAACATTAATTTAAGTTAGTGAGACACATATGTATATGCATGTGGCATTTGTAATGCCCTCACTGATATTACCATTCAACTAAATAAAAACTAATTTCTTTAAAAGGTTTGGGATCCCAAAATAAAGCATTAGAATACAAAATCTTTGATCTACATATGTTACAAAACATAACATAGCGAAAGCATTTCATTCAAGTGTG